TTATGCTGCTGGCAACAGTCCTCAGGTGGGCCTCCCACACCCAGCACCACACTTACTCAGTTCAGCTGGGGGTTATAAGTTGACCATCAGTTATCAATCCACTACATCTACTAAGTCCATTTGTTCAAATTTTCATTTGGTTCTGATATTTCTTAGTTGCTTTTTTGTCTGGTTGATCTGTCTATATGTAATAGTGAGGTATTAAGGTCCCCGTTACAATTGTGTTGGTGCTTACTTGATTTTTTATGTCTGTTAATATTTGTTTTATATAGTTAGGTGTGCTGCTATTTGGTGCATATACATTTATGATTGATATCTTTTCTTGGAATTTTCCCTTACTAAGTATGTAGTGACTTTATCTCTTTTGATCAGTCTTGGCTTGAAGTTCAGCCGAGAACGGGCTACAAATAGAACAGCTACCCCTACTTTTTTCTGGAGTATTGTTTTCCATCCTTTGACTTTCAGTCTATGAATTTCTTTTTGGGTTAAATGTGTTTCTTGAATGCAGCGCATAGTTGGTGGTGTGGGGAAGGAAAGAAAAAGAAAAAAATGAGGAAAAAAAGGATAAAATGGAAACAAAGCTTTGTAAATGAGTAGGGGAAGGGAGTTGAAGGGAGGTGAGGAGAATGGGATAAAAAAAGAGAAACAAAGATATAGCATATATAGATACAAGTTCCCTATGATGAGTGTGATCATTATGTATATCTAAATTGTATCAATAAACTTAATTAAAAAGGTAATTGTTATGTGAATGTACCCACTTCCCCTGATGAGTATGATCATTATGTATTTCAGATACTAATTTAAAAAAATGTTTGAATAGAAAAATACAGAGTACCTAAGACTGGGAATTTATAAAGGAAAGAAGTTTGTTCAGCTCTTGGTTCTGGAGACTAGGAGGCGCAGGTGAGGGGCCACGTCTGAGAGGTATTCTTGCTAGTGAGGCCTCTAAAGAGTCTCCTGACAACACAGAGGTAGGTGCTGGAGAACTCACTTTTATAGCAAAGCCACTTACTCAATAACCCATGAACCTACAATGGATTGATCTTTTCATGAGAGTGAGATCCTCAAGACCCAATCACCGGCGAGAGCTCCACCTCCAAATACCATTAACATATGAATTGGAAGGTGAAATTTCCAGCTGGGGACTCTGGAGCCAGGCCCGCTGATTCCATGCGCGGTGGTGCAGAGCTTCGTTCTCAGCACCCTACTTCTGCCAGCCAGGGCAGGTCTCTTGGCCTTGGGCCTCAGTTTCCTTGATGAGAGATGAGTGATGACAGCAAATATTGAATCTTTCTGTTCCCGCATTTCACGAAACACCTGAGATCAGAAGAAATTTGGGTGCTGTGTGAGGGCTCAGAGACTCCTTGGCTCCCAGAACTGGGGCTCCTCCCAGCCAGGTTGGTCTGGAGGTGTGTTCACTGGCTGCAGGCCTGAAGTGAGGAAGGAGGGAAGGAGGACATAAGGAGAAGGTACAGTGCACAGAGTCAGAGAAGCAGAGACAGAGGATAGAGAAATAAAGAACCAAGATAGAGGGGATGCATTTAAGGATGAAATTATACTAATCCTCAACATCATCTTCCAGAAAATAGAGGGGATACTTCATGGTCCATTCTATGAGGCCAGCATTACATTAATAC